CTTTTAAATTTAATGTAATCAAAATTATCCATTTTATCTCCCATGATCCTTTCCTGATTGGTCATAAACTCTTATCCATAGATCTGACAAGTAACTTTTTCTATGCACCCCTAATTTTCTTATGATATCACCTTTTGTGTCTAAATCATATAACCATTTTCTTTTTTGGTGAGGCAACTGGGGTTAAGTGAATTGCCCAGGGTCACACAGCTAGTGTTAAGTGTGTGAGGCCAGATTTGAACGCAGGTCCTCCTGACTCCAAAGCTAGAGCTCTATCCACTGTGCCACCTAGCTGCCCCTAAATCATATAACCATTTTGACCTCATTTTGATATATAGTGTGAGATGTTGGTCTGTGCCTAGTTTCTGTCAGACTGCTTTCTAGTTTTCCTCGGAGTTTTTGTCAAATGGTGAGTTTTTGTCCCCAAAGCTTGGATCTGTGGGGTTTATCAAACACTAAAACTGCTGTGGTCATTTACCTCTATATATTGGGTACCTAACTTATTCTGTTGATCTACCACTCTATTTCTTAGCCCATATCAGATTGTTGTGATAATTCCTGCTTTGTAGTATGGGACGGCAGGCTTATCTGATTTGCAGATGACACAGAGCTAAAAGGGCTATAAGACTCTGGATGAAAGTCAGGATCCAAGAAGACTCAGACAAGTTAGAGCTCTGGGTTGACAATCATCAAATTCAGTAGGGATAGATACAAAATCCAGTGCTTCCAACAGAGTCTTCAGGAAGACAGGAACCATCTCAAAAAATGCTGGCTTTGGAGCTACACAGTGTGGGTTCAAATCCCAGCCCTGCAACTTATCAAATGACCTTGCATAAGTCACTTTCCTTCTCTGAATCTGCTTTCTCACCTGTACAATGAAAATATTAGACTAAATTAGGAGGCCTTCACCTGGTGTGTCTGGAACCCTTGGGGTCCATCGACAAATTGGGGGGGGAGGGGCAGTCCTTGAATTTGGATAGGAAAAAAGTGATATCTCTAGTTCCACTAACTTCTTTTAAAAAAATTAATATTTTATTTTCCCCATTTACATACAAAAACAATCTTTAACATTTTTTAAAAAAATTTGAGCTCCGAATTCTCTCCCTCCCCTTTCTCCCCTTCCCCGCCATTGAGAAGACAATCGATTTGATACAGGTTATACATGTGCAGTAATGAAAAACATATTTCCATGCTAGTCATGTTGTGAAAGTAAACAGACCTCCCCCCAAAAAAGAAAGATAAAGCAAAGTATGCGTTGGATCTGCATTCAGCCCATTTCCACTTACTTCTAACTGGAATTTAGCATTTTTTTCCATTATGAATGTAGGGACATACTCACTATGGGACCTTGTTCAAGTCATTTCCCCATTTTGGGCCTCAGTCTCAGAAGGCAGATGGTCTCCAAGCTATGAGATGCTCTAACAAGATAAGGGGTGTTGGCGTGGTGGGGGTGTTTGCTTGTAAATGATTTTGATCTCAAATGTGGCCCATTGGAACTAAGACACAGGTGACATTCAGCATCAATGTAGTCAAATGTATCATTTAATTCTATGCAGATTAATATGTTGTGGATTGTCCCTGCAGAATGCAGAGCCAGCCAGCAGCAAGCAGATGCTTCCCTCTAGTGTCCAATGAGGAAGCTGCAGACTACCAGCCCCTGTCCAAGGACCACTAAACCTAGGAGAGAGAATTGGAGGAGAGAAAGAAGGGGGAAGACAGGGGAAAAAACAGAGAGAGTGAGACTGAAAAAGATGGAGTGGAGCATGGTACAATGGAAAGAGGGCAGAATTTGTACATGGAGGACCTGAGTTCAAATCCTGACATGGCCATTTACTTAACCTGTATGACCTTGAGTAAATTACTTAACCTACTGGTGTCATCTTCCCTGTGAGATGAATCGGGATTGGACTTGACCTTTAGGTACACTGGGAAGAACGCTGGCTCACCAAAGGGTTATAAAACTGTGCATACCCTTTGACCCAGCAATACCACTTCTAGGGCTGTATCCCAAAGAGATCATAAAAAAGGGAAAAGGACCCACATGTCTAAAAATATTTATAGCAGCTCTTTTTGTGGTGGCAAAGAATTGGAAATTGAGGGGATGCCCATCAGTTAGGGAATGGCTGAACAAGTTGTGGTATATTAATGTAATGGAATACTATTGTGCTATAAGAAATGATGAACAGGCTGACTTCAGAAAAATCTGGAAAGACTTGTATGGTCTGATGCTGAGTGAAGTGAGCAGAACCAGGAGAACGTTGTACACAGTAACAGCCACGTTGTGCGATGACTAACTTTCATAGACCCTTCTCAGCAATGCAAGGCTCTAAGACATCTCCAAAGGTCTCATGAAGGAAAATGCTATCCACATCCAAAGAAAGAACTATGGAGTTTGAATGCCGATCAAAGCATACTATTTGCTATTTTTTTCCTTCTGTTGAGTTTTGTTTCCTTTCTTGTGGTTCCTCCTATTGGTTCTAATTCTTACAACATCACTAATGTGAAAATATGTTTAATAGGAATGTATATGTATAGCCTATATCAGATTGAGGGGAGGTGGGGAGGGAGGGAAGAAAAATTCTAAACTCAAAAGCATATGGAAGTGATTCTTGATAAATCAAAATAAATTAATTAATAAAAAAACGAGCAGATTTCAGAAAAACCTAGAAAGATTTAGATGAACTGATGCTGAGTGAAATGAGCAGAACTAACACTGTACACAGTAACAACATTGTTTAATGACCAACGATTTAGTTCTTCTCAGCAATGCAATGATCTAAGACAATTCCCAAAGACTCGTGATGGAAAATGCTATCCCTTTCGAGAAAGAACTGCGGAGTCTGAACGCAGATCAAAGCATACTATTTTCTTTTCTTTTTTTCTTTCTTGTGGTTTTTCCCTTTTGTTCTGATTCTTCTTTCACAACATGACTGATGTGAAAATGTTTAATATGATTATATGTGTGTAGCCTATATCAGATTTCGTGCCATCTTGGGGAGGGGGAGGGGGAAATTTTGGAACTCAGACTCTTATAAAAGTGAATGCTGAAAACTAAAAATTTAATTAACTAAAAAAAAAGAACATTGACTCAAAAGTCAGAAGACCTGAGTTAAAATTGACCCGTTGCCCCCTACTGCCTGTGTGAGCTTGGGCCAGGCCCTCTATTTGTACGACAATGAAGGGGTCAGACCGGATCCCTCCTGGCTCTCCATCAGCGATTCTTCCAGTTCCATAGGTTTATCCTCCCCTTCACCCCTTGATGTCCCACCTCCAATTGGTAGCCCAGTCTTCACTTCTATCTCCTCATTTCTTGCACTCAGGCCTTCTTCACCTGGACTACTGTGAGAGCTTTCCAATTGGTCTCCCTTTCCCAAATGTCTCGGCAATTGACAGAGCAACATTTGATGACATTCATGTCCTGTCTTGTCTCACCAATAACCAACCAGTGGTAGGGCATCTACTGTGTTCTTAGCCCTTTGCTACCATGACAAATGCTGCCGTAAGGATTTTGTTGTATGAGGCCGTTTTTATGTCATGACTTTGTTGGGATATATGCCTGGCAGTGAAACTTCTAGGTCAGAGGGTGTAGACATTTTAGCCACTTTATTTGCATAATTCTAAATTGCTTTTCAAAACAATCGTGCTGATTTACAGTTACACCAACAATGTATTAGTGTGTCTTTAGATTCTGATGGCTTAGAATGAGTGTAAATAGTGATTGGTGTCTGTTCTGGCCAGAAACTTTGAGAGTCTTTCCCTCTCAGACTAACATTTTTACGATGGTAAATTAGGCCATCCTTTGTCTCAATCCTTACCGAGCCATCAGTCATTGAATGGGCATTACTTCAGACAAACTGAGTCCAAGGAAAGACCTTACTTTAGAACGGCCAAGGTCGCCCGCTGCATCCTGGGCATCATCAATCATCATAACGTTTCTCTTGCCACCGGACTTTGACGATTGGAGGGGAAAGTGAGGCTGAAGACTGCTCAGCTCTGCCTCACTTACAACCAATGCATTCCCAAGTCAAGACATCGCCCTTGAGATGTCTTGGTCCTCTTTGAGAACAGAGGAGAAATGAGTGCGCCTACCTTTCCATAACCCCTCCAACACCGACTATTCCTTTTTGCCAGTTTGCTGGGTATGAGATGAAAACTCAGGGTTGATTTGATCTTTTTCATTATTAGTGATGTGAAGCATCCTTTCATATGATTAACAGTTTGTAACACATGATTAATCATATTTTGAGAACTGTTTTTCCAACCCTCTGGCCATCCTTTCATCATTTAAAGCCCTTCACCTCCTGGCTCTGGCCTACCTTTCCAGATTTTATCCCCTATACAGTGCAGATGAATAGGTCTTCTTGCTGTTCCAGACACAGAACATTCCACCTCTAACCTCCCTGCCTTTACATAGACTGCACCCCCCTCCCCCCACACCTGGAATACTAGCCTCCTTCCCCTCCACTTCCTGTGATGCCTGGAGCATGGCCCAGGTATCCCATCCTTCCACCATCTCCATCTTCTCTGAACCCTCCCAATTACTCTGGGATCTTACTGTGGCCAGACCAGCGTCTTAACTTTCAATTCTGGGAGGCAAGTCAGCCTCACAGAACTTGGGACCTGAGGTTCTTAGGATCAAGGGATTTGGACCAGATTGGACCCTAGAGAACAGACCAAAATGAAGCCCAGCTGAAGCCCTGAGAAACTTAGTGACTTGGGTCACAGAGCTAAGAAACATGAGAGCTGGGGCTTGAACCCTAGAGCCCCAAACCCAACATTTTCTACCATCCTGTGCTTTTATCATTTTGTCCAAGCCCAAAGTGACCAGGCATCCCCTCTAAGATATTCCCAATAAGGGGTCATCCAACCTCCATGTGAAGACCCTCCAGGGAAGGGGAAATTTCACTGTCTTTTGTGGCAACTCACACCACTCTTCGACAGTTCCAAAGTGGTCTTTGTCCCTCCCCACATACTCTCCAGATCCAAACTGACCAGCACTATTTCCTTTAAAGCATTATTTAAAAGTTTAATTAAACTACAAGTCATTTTCCAAACCCTAATACAAAAATACAGTGTGATGAAATGACTAGAATGGATCCACAGAAGGTGCAGCATTGCTCAAACATAGATGACGGGCGGTGGGTGGGGAGGGAAAGGGGAGTTCATTCAGAGTTCACTTAATTCCCGGAACAAACAGGGAAAATGAGAGAGACAGGAGGAAGGAAGGTCAAGGGCAAGGAAGTAATATTCCCCGGTTTCCCTCTGGGCTAGAGCCGCTGACCAACCTTTAGAAACAGAAACTGATAAGCTGGCTTGCTGGAGGGCGACCAAGGGACACCCGTGTGAGTCAGGCATGGAGGATGGGGAAGAAGGGATGAGAAGCCGGGCACGTGTGGCGAAGGCCCACCCACAAGGCCATCCAATGCCCCTTCTCAGGCCAAACAGGCAAATGAGTGGAAAGGCGGTAGGGAAGGAGAGGAGGAATCCCAGGACATGCAACTGGATGGAAAAAGTGGATTTTCTCAAGAGGACAGAGTCCTTTCCCAGAAGGGAGGTCCTGTCTTCCAGTGCAAGTCACTCCTGGTCTCTTCCAGAAGAAGATTCCTCCCCACACCTTTATTTCAGTGAAGGAAGGGGCAAGCTCACAGCCCATCACAGCTCATCTTGCAGATGTTTTTTTTTAAAGGAGTCACCAGTCAGCTTTTCCTGGGCTTCCTTCATCCCCTCAACCACTGGAAAAAATCAAGGGACAAATAAAGAGATGTCACATGGAGGAGAAAAAAGAGAAGCCCAGGAGGGGTCACGGGGGGGGGGGGGGGGGCCCAACGCATTCCCCCCCCGTTAACTTAACACTGACACTGCTTTAAGAAGAGTTGTACCTGGGGCAGCTAGGTGGTACAGTCGATAGAGCACTGGAGTCAGGAGGACCTAAGTTCTACTCCAGCTTCAGATACTTGATATTTACCAGCTGTGTGACCTTGGGCAAGTCTCTTAACCTCAACTGCCTCACCGAAAACAAAAAACAAACAAAAAAAAAAGAGCTGGACCCAACAGGAGTCGGATTCTTCTGGGATTTCTCCCCTTTGTTCTTTGTATCATAAAATGCTTGTATCTGAATCCGTCCACAAGCCCTTTGGGCATGGAAATCAGTATGTGCCCAGCCCTGCGCTCAGCACTGGGTGCACAAAGGCCGGCATGCTTCCCGTCTTCAAGGACTTCACGTTCCGATGGGGGAGACAGCATGGGGTAATAACCAGGTACATGGTACAAGGTACATGCAGAGTGGATGGGAGATGATCTCAGGGGCCTGGGAAAGGCCTTCTGGAGGAGGGGGGAATCTGAGTGGAGTCTAGCTGGGGGGAGGGAGAATGCTCCAGACACGGTAGGCAGCCAGTACAAAGGCAGGGAGATGATCTGTATGTGGCTGGACTGCTGATGATCAAATTTGTAATAAACATGAAAAATGTTTAGAAACACAAAGAACCAGGGAGCAGAGGAGCCTTCTGGAAAAGAATCCAGGCACGTGGGCAGAGCAGGGAGCCTTCAATGATCCTGGGTGGGGGGAATGGTGACTCAGGCCTCAGAATTGGGAGGCTGGGGATCAAAAATCAGAGACTCTCAGAGTTAGAAGGACTTCAGAGCCCATCTGGTCCTACCCACGCATGACCAAGCAAGTGCTCATTCACAAGTGGTCATCCATCCTTCCTGGGAAGACCTCCAGGTTGTGCCTCTCCGGGCAGCCCACTCTACCCTAGGGTTCTTTAACACAAGGAAGCCCAATGGACCTCTCGGAAACTGCGCCCACTGCTCTTGGCACAAGGCTACTTCCTTCTTCCACAGGACCTTAAGCATGGGAAGACAGCTGGGAGTTTCTCTGCCCTCCTAAGGTAGGTCTCCAGTCTATTCGGGTTGCCCTCTTCGAGACACCTACCATCTTGTTAAGGGCCTTCCTAAAACGTAGTGCCAAGCATGGAAAATATTCCAAACACAGGAGGGAGAGGCCGTGGCAAACCTACACCTAGCATGTCCGGGAAGCTGGTTTCTGGCATGATATTCTGAAGGACCCGGCCATCTGATCAGAGGAGTCTGGTAGAGTGAGTGCCAGGTCTTAGGGGCAACCTCCCACAAACCACTGAATTCTCCCCTCCTCCAGGTCTCCCCAGGGACACACCTGGCTGAAGGCCTTCCCACCCGTCTCTGGAGCCATCAGGTTGGTCTCAGGCTGGGGGTTGGGGGCTACTCTAATTCTGGAGGGGTCAGATGCTGCCCCGTACCCTTCTCTTCTTGCCCATCTCCCACTGCACATCCCCATGGGTGTCTCCAATTAAGTGACATGACTTTCTCTTAAATGCACCAGACAAACACAAGGGCCTGCTCCTTTCATCGGCAACTCTTTGAAGTCCTGCCAACAGCCCATCCTAGCAGCTCACGGTGCAGGCCATCGGCTATCTGTTCTGGTTAAAGCAGAGATTAACCAGCTAAAAGTGAGTTTAACTAGTTTCAGATTTTGGTCATAAAAGAGCTGCTGAATTTACACCTCCCTGTACCTTCTTCCCTGTGCCACGAACACGGATCTAGGCACACACTAGGTACTTTATAAAGACTTCAACTAACTTTCTCATTGCAGATTCTGAACTTGCTACTTCCTGGCCACACTGGGGAGCTGCAGCCCTGCCTCTCCCACCCTCCCCCACGTACCCTGCTCAGCATTGATGTAGAAGTACTTGTAGCTGGGGTTTCCTTTCTCATTGATGATTTCAGGGTGCACCTGGCCACTGGGATCTAAAATACAAGGGGGAAAAAGAAGCTCAAATGTGTATTATTATTAACAATAACAATAACTCAATACTTACAAGAGTGCTTTAAGGCTCACAAGGCACTTTACACACATCTCATCTGATTCTCGAAAGAACTCTGGGAGGTAGGTGCCTAAATCACCCCCATTTTAAAGATGAGGAAACTGAGGTTAAGTGTCACACAGCATTTAGGGATCTGAAGCAGGATTTCCTGCTTCAGGACTTCCTGACTCCAGATCCAGGACTCCAACCCCTGCACCAAGAATAGGGAATAGGGCTTAGATCCATTTCATTGGTATGAGGAAACTCTCTTCACTGACCGCGATTTGTCGGCAGCTCAGTCTTAGAGAAGTGCCTGGGCCCTTGAGAGGTCATACAGCCACTAATGGGTCAGTGGTAAGACTTGAACCCAGGCCCTCCTGACTCGGAGACTAGCTCTCTAGCCCTTCTCTCAGAGAAAGGGCTCATGTTGTGATGATGAGCCTCATTCTATTCACACTCACAACTAATTTCTTAGACAGTTAAGAAGGGTTGCTTCTTATGCTCAGCACTGGGAGAGAGATGGCGTCTCCAGGAGCCACAGGACACGTCCCCAGAAAACCCTCAGTCTAACAGAGGGGTATGACATACAGAGCCCAGATGCCCAACAGTCAAGGAAAGAACCCCCCTTTCATCCCTCTGATCAAGCCCCAGGATTACAGAGCGCCAGCCCCGCAGCCTGCCACAATCCCTCTCCACCCCAGTCTATCCTTCACCCAGGCACTAAAGTGATTTTCCTAAAACTCGGGTCCAACCTCCCACCCCAGCAAAATAAATTCCCCATCACTCCCAGAATCAATTATGAAACTCGGGGCCTTCAGAGCCCTTCCTAACCTGTCCCCCTCCTACTTCTCCAGTCTCCTTATACCTTGCGCCCACCTCCATATCCAGTGACGCTGGCCTCCCAGCTGTTCTTCCCATTAGACTGTAGGCTCCTTGAGGGCAGGGACTGTCTTTTGCCTTTTTGTATCTCCAACACTTAGCATAGTGCCTGGCACATAGCAGGTGCTTAATCAATGTTTATTGACTGATAACGTACACTTGCTGACCATATGACCTTGGACAGGTCACATCCCTTATATTTACTCGTGTATAACACTGGGGTAATTACCCTTGTTCAACCCACTTACAGAACAGCTGTAAAAAAGGGCTTCACAAACCTTAAGAGGAGCAGAAACGAGCACTATCCTGTGTGCTATCATTTGATAATGTAAGAATTGGCAGTTTTAGTTCTCAGGAATATTTTCTGTGATTTTGGGGTCTATGCTGCCACCAGGTGGGCCACAGTCTTTGGGGTCTATACGGCAGCTAAGCAGCACAGAGCACTGGGCTTGGAGTTCAAATCAAGCCTCAGACACTTTTTAGGTGTGGGGCCCTGCGTAAGTCACTTAACTTCTGCCTGCCTCAGCTTCCTCATCTGTAAAATCAGGATAGTAACAGCACCTACCTCCCAGGGTTCTTGTGAGAATCACATGTAATTTGGGGGTAACCAGGTGGCACAGTGAAGAAAGCCCAGGCTCAGACACTTACTAGCTGTGTGACCCTGGGCACATAACTTAAACTTTGCCTGCCTCAGCTCCCTTGTCTGTAAAATGGGGATAATAATAGTACTAACTTCCCAGGGTTTCTGTGAGGATCAAATGAAGTAATATTTGTGAAGAGTGCTTAGCCCAGTGGTGGCACACAGCAGGTGCTACGTGAATGCTTCTTCCCTCCCCCTCCCTTTCACTACCAGGCATGCATTTATCCAACACCTGGAGCACACAGCTGGGGCTTACCCAGGAAAAGGATTCTCGGAATATAGCTGCCATCAGGGCTAAAGGCTTCGTCCTTTGGTTCCTCTTCATCCTGCGGACAATCAAGACGCAATAATTTGCTTCGCTGAACAGACAGATCTGGACTTCCCACTCATGCCCCAAGGGCCTTCCTCCGAGGCATCCTCAGGAACTCTTGTCCTTGACCTCAGTGAGCTCTTAGTGAGCCCTCAGAGCATCTGACCAACCCAGACCCTCTACCATATACACTTGAGAGAAAGGCCCATGTCCTGCCTGACGTATCACCTCTGGTTCAGGTATGGGTTGGTATGGCATGTGAAAAGGAGTGCTAGCTCTGGAGCCAGAGAAACTGGGTTCAAATCACTGCCTCTGTCCCCACCATGGGGGGGGGCAGGGGCCCCCAAGAGATGGTGCTGTTGCATCAGGATTTGAATCCAAGACCGCTGAAATCAAACTACAGCAGGCTGCCTCTACTGCCCAGCAGAATAAAAATACCTGGAAGGCAGGAACGGTTTATTTTGTCCTTTCTATCACAAGCACCCTGTAGATGCCTCATAAATTTTGACTGAGTTGATCTGAAAAAGCAGGAGCTGCCATATCCACCCACTTTTTCAGGGTAGCAAAGTGAAAAGTGGGGAATGGATGAACAAGGCGTGCTGCATGGGTGGAATGGAGCATGACTGAGCTGTAAGAAACCATGAACACACAGAACTACAGGCAGCATGGGAAGACTTATGAAGCGACACAGCCAGAAAGGCACAGTACCAAGAGAACGCTGCCTCCAACGACAACGTGACTAGGAAGAACCACCCAGAGAGCACTGAAAGAAGATGTCCAGTGATCACCGGGGTGGCACGCTGCCTGTCTGTCAATAAGCATTTCTTAAGCACCTACTACGTGCCAGGCACTGGGCACGGGGGCAAAAAGCAGTCCCCGGGCCTCGAGCAGCTCAGTCTAACGAGGGAGACAACAAGCAACCTACTGTGTACAAAGGAGACACAGAGATAACTGACGAAGGAAAAGCGCTGCTATCAAGGACCCCTGGGAAAGGCTTCCCGCAGAAGGCAGGATTGTTGCCGTTCGGCCTTCATTCTCGAAGAGGACCAGACATCAGGAGGGCAACGTCTCGACTCGCACGTGAACTGGACGTAAGGGGGCAGAGCCCCGGTCATTTGGAGTCCAGAGGCAAGACACAGGCTGAGACCACTGCTAATGGCCCAGGAGGTGGTGAGAGACCTTGGCCTTTTTCAACTAAGTCTCAGTTTGTCTGAGGCAACACCCATTCATGAATTTGAGGTTAGGTAAGAACCAAGGCAAAAGGTGGTCTAGCTTGCCTTACCCTCAGAGTTTCCGGCCAGAACAGAAACAACTGCTATTTAGACTCACGCTGAGCCACCAAGACACCAAAATGAGCAAGCGAGGCTCGAGCTGGGCCCTATTACTGGCCCATCAGGCATAGCCGTGTTGCTCCGTCTGTGTCACGGTGGGCTTTAACAAAGCCTGGTTTTCCAGAGCTAAGTTTCAAGAACTCACAAATGAAAACTACATGAGACAAAAGAGTTAACTGCCCCAGTTTTTCCCAAAACAAAAAAATGATAGAATAGAGAAGAAAAATAAGGAGGCAAGAGATTCAAGAGAAGAAGACAGGGTAGAGATGAACTAGCTCACCAGGGAGTCAAGATGGGGAGAAAAGTATGGCTAGTACAGTGGTGATGGCCTGAGAGAGAACTGAGTGAGGGGTCAAGGGACGGAGAGTCACAGCAAGGATGAAAAACAGGGTTTGGGGTTGCAAGACAAAGGGAGAGGTGCAAAGTTAATAGACTGTGATTAAATCAATGAATTTCAGAGTTCACAAGCATGGAAATGTAACATCTGTGGGCAATGGACAGTGGAGGGCCACATTATGGGAAATGAGATGAGGATGTTGGAGGGAGTAGCAATCTTTATGAAGTTCCCTAATATGAGGGCAGGAGCTGGGGAGGAGAGAAGGACTGTGAGTAAAATAGTGAACTCACTGAGGAAGGAAGGTGAATGTCCCGGAGGTCAGCAGACAACAGCTACACATAATGTCCAGTCATGCTGGAAAACAATTTGGAACCATGCCCCAAAAGTTACTAAATTGGACCTACCCTTGACCCAGAGATATACTACCAGGCTTAAGCCCCAACGAGATCAAAGAAAGAGGAAAATAACTCATATGCACACAAATATTGATAACGGTCCTTTTCATAGTAGCCACAAACTGGACATTGAGCAGTGACCCAGGCTAAGCAAATGATGGTATATGAATCTAATGGAATATTACTGTGCTATAAGAAATGATGAAAGAATTGTTTCAGAGAAACCTAAGAAGACTCATATGAACTAACATAGAGTGAAGTGAGTAGAACCAAAAGGAAAATGCCAATAATAACAGTATTGTAAAGACAAAAACCTGTGATAGACTTAAGAACTCTGATCAATATGGTGACCACCCATGATTCCAGGAGACAGCTAATAAAGCAGGTTACCCACCTGCTGACAGAGATGGCTCAGGGTAGTGACAGAAACATATTTTTTAGACATAGCCACCGAAGGAATTTGTTTTCTTTGACTATGCAGATTTGTTACAAGGGTTTTTTTTTTCCTTTTAATGGAGGACAGGAGGAGGGAAAATCGATTTTTGTTAAATGAAAACAATTAAGTTAAATAAACAATGCCAGACTCTCAGTGGATGTCTTGGTCAATTTTGAAAAACTCTCCTCTCTCTTTTTTATCCTTCATCATAAGGTGTGGATCTTTGGGAGGGAGAAGAGAAAGTGCTGTAATGGGAAATATAGGCAATGGGGAAAAAGAAAGTCAATAAAAATGTTAACAGTAAGAACCCACCTATAGCTCCAAAAAGAAGTTATATGTGTGCAAACACATTTCCTAGGAGGATTAGTGGCCCTCCATGTGACTATGACAAATATCCATCCCTGGGCACCCAAGCTGGGCCACAAGGATTGGACTAAGTGGCCTTGGAGATCTCTTCTAATGAAAGGAAAAGCGTTTATTAGGCACTTACTGTGTGACAGGCACCATACTCAGCACCAACTCTGATACTCTTTGATTTAGAGCAAATCAACAAGGAAACTGATCAACAAACACGTGCTAAGCTCTGCCTTTGAGCCCCTTTATTCCCAACAGACAGGGAACCTCCTCCAACCTTACCTCAAGATTGACCATAATAAAATTGTGGGCAAGTTCTGAAATCTCCTTGGACTCCGCAAACAAGGGCTTTAAGGCTGATTTTAAAAAAAGAAAAAGAAAAAAAAGGACAAAATGATTTAAAAGAAGATCTGTCTTCACCTGATCTAAATCCTGTGCCCTGACTGTCACGAGGAGACTTCTTTAATATAATTTCACCCATTTCTACGCTGCTTTTGGGGTTACAAAGGCACTCGCCTTGTAACAAACAACCTTGAGCAACTATTACATAAAAATAAAGCATCTGTCGAGGGCTTTGCAAATCTTAAAGCACTATAGAAGCACTAGCTATGATGATGACAATAATGATGACTACCTCCACTTTATAGATGAGAAGACTGAGGCTCAGAGAAGGAGCAGGGGCTTACCCAACATCATACAAGTAACGAGCGCCTCGAGCAGAATTCCAGCCCAGTCTGACCCCAACTCCAGCCATGCTGCTTCTCAACATGAGGATCCTAGCTCGAGAACCTCCTCAGAGGCCACTCAGCTCAATCCCTTCATTTCATACATGAGGACACTGAGGCCCAGAATAAAGAGCAGAGCCAGGATGCTGGCCCAGGTCTTTACGACACCACGTTACTTCTCAAAATAACGAGGTGCCCTGTCTTTCGAGCAGTTTTCAGTGAAGAGCGTCCTGGGCTTGGAGTCAGAAAGACCTCAAGCTCAGATCCTGCTGACTTGTGTGACCCTGTGCCTCAGTTTCCTCACCAGTAAAATGACTGGACTTGATGCCTCCCAGGTCCCGTCCAGCTCTAAATCTGGGATCCTGAGTCAGGACACTGCTGGTGGTTGGTGACTGGATCCGGGCCAGGGCCAGAAGTTCTAGATTCCAGCTCCCTTCTGGCCTGTGTGGCCCTCCCAGGTCAGCTGAGCCTTGATCTGCCCCTTCTACGTGGTGGATCTAAGGGATGCTGCCCATTCCTGACTCTTCCTCCCCATGTTCTTCCTGAGTGTCCCCCTCCCACCTCTCTGTGCTCCAAGTCCTCCCCATCCTCCCCATCCTCCCCAGCCCCTTCTGCCATGAAGCCCTGCTGCCCTCTCCACCCTACCCTGGTGTCTGCAGACTGGGTCTACAGGAGCATGGCTGCATATCCACGAGGGGTACTACTAAACAGCCTTTACACCATGAAAGCATTTATTAAACACTTACTGGGCACAAGGTTCTGTGCAAAGATGAGAGTGACACAGGCCCTGACCTCATGGAGCTTACAGTCTAGCACAGGGGTGGGGAACCTGCGGCCTCGAGGACAGATGTGGACCTCTAGGTCCTCAAGTGCGGCCTTTTAACTGAATCCAAACTTCACAGAACAAATCCTTTCATTAAGGGGACTAGACTCTAGTGAGTGGGACAAGACATCGCACACAGACATAACTCAGGAAACGGGGCAGAACGTGATTAGTGCAGAAGATAGGGCTCCAGTTTGAGGAGAAACCTGAAGAGGGAGGAGTAAAAAGGCCCTGGTCTGGGCCACAGGGGAAGGAAAGTCCTTCAGTAGGAAGATCAGGGGGGTGGCAGTGGAGGGAGAGCAGGGAAAAGGAAGGACAAGACAAGAACTGGGCATGGAGAATGCTGCGGTTTGGATGGAATATAGAGGACATGGGCTCATGGGCTTAGACTTAGAACGGAACGACGTCAGTGGTGGCCAGGCCAATCTCCTTGTCAAGGAAACAGAGGCCAAGTGATATTGGCTCTGCTACATCATCTGCTACATCTACCACATCAGTGTGATTTTGGGCAGAAATTTAATGTTTCTGGGCCTCAGTTTCCTCATCTGCAAAAGGAGGGTGGTGAACCAGATGACCTCTAAGGCTCCTTCTATCTCTAGTATTTCTATAGCTATTCAGTGTTTGAGACAGAATTAGAACCCAGGTCTCTTAGAATTCTCTCTGCTAGGTCAAGCTGTCTCACAAGGCAGAAAAACTATAAGAGTATGGTGTGTCATGGGAGACAAGGAAAATTCCCCATACAAATCAAGTGCTAACTTTACAGATCAGGAAACTGAGGCTCTGAGGGATGATGAAACTAGCACCAGGTCACACAAGCAGTAAATGACAGAGGCAGGATTCAAACCCAGGTCCTAACACCAAACCCAGAGTAGCTTCACTGTGCCTCTGGATGAGACAGTAAGCTTCCTGGGGGCAGGGATAGTGACCTGGCTTTCTTCTGTACTCCCAAATCATCATGCATAGTAACGCCAACAAGCACAAGTAATAAGAAATGCCCTCTGAATGAAGGGAGCACTCCTCCTTCAGAGATGCTGAAATCCCTGGCATATACGTACCTTTGCAGGCGCCACACCAGGACTTATGGATGATGACCATCAGGGGCAGCCCACTTAGAAAACAAAACAAGCAAACAGTCAGTTGGCTCAGGAGAGATAGAATTTCCACACTTGCTGTTCTTTCAGTTGTCTTAAAAATCCTCCCTGGAAATGAGGATGGGACAAACCTCCCTCTTCTTACTAGAGATGGAGGACTAGGGGGAAGGATTGAAGCATACACTGTCAGATATGGTCAGTGTGTCCATTTCTTTGGCATAACTGGACTTCCTAGCTATAAGAGAGGGTTCTATTGGTCAGAGAGCAATTGGGAAGCAACAAGGCTATCTTTTTTAAAGCATCAACTCATTTTTAACAGAATTTTCCAGGGACATCTTCTTTGCATGCATCTAGATGATAGGACTTGAAAAGGTCACACCAGGGGAGCACAGGCTCAAGGAGGTCCCACCAGAGTGGACAAACCATATTTCTGTCCCCTGAGGTCCAACCTAGCTAAGTTTTCATCACCAGAACAAATGATCACCAGGGAACTTTTTTTGACTACAGCAGCTCCTGAAACTGTCTATGGCTGCATTGTTGTAGGGAAAGCTGACGTATGAACCAAAAGAACGCTGGCACACTGAAGTGTAACTGATCTTATCTCAAAACCCCATACCCTTCATGGTCTGCTTCTCCTAAAATGACCTACACCTTCTACCCACAATGTTTCATGAAGTCTAACCTAGGGAAACATTTCTTTTAAAGCATAATTTTCTTTTTTAATTGTAAATTTAACAATCAACAAATGTAAGTTTTCTAATACACAAAGAACAAAAGAAAGGATTGTATATGGAACAGTGAACTTTCTTTATATGATTTTTTTAAAAAGCAGGGGTTCTTAACCTGGGGTCCATGAAATTTTAAAAATAATTTGATAACTGTATTTTAATATAATTGGTCTACCTATTACATGCCAGGGACTTTACAAATAATCTCACCTGGTCTTCACAACAACCCTGAGAGTTAGGTGCTATTATAACCTACATTTTACAGATAAGGCAGAGGTTATGTAATTTGCCCAGGGTCACACAATTAGTACACATCATGGATTTGAACTCAAAGTCTTCCTGTGGAACTAACTGATGTGTCAGGCACTTTCTGGTTCTGGCATGTTAACGATAATTGGCATAAACATAATTCTTTTAGGTCTACAAAGTGCTTAGAACCATAGAATGCAAAATATTAAAGCATAAAAGCCGGAACACATATCAGATGTGAGAAGGACCTTCAAACACAGAAAACTAATTGGAAGGAACCCTAACTGACTCTCTAATCCAGCAGTTCCTAACATTTTTTGTGTCCTGGATTCCTTGGGCAGTTTGGTGAAGCCTATGAAACCTTCTCTTAATGTTTTTAAAATTCATAAAATAGTAGGATTACAAGGGAAACCAAATATTAAAATAACAATGTTTTTTGCCCATCTAAGTTCACTGACCCCTTGGTTAAAAACCCCTGGCTCCAGTCAAACCCCTTCATCTTAGGCCCAGAAAAGACAAGTGACCAGCCCAAGACCACACAGCTCTGAGTGACTGCAGTGGGATCCGAAGTCTCTCATTCCAGTGTCCTTTCCACTAACCACCTGCTCAGGTCTATGAAAATTCCACCAGTAGGGGTGGCTGATCTTTCACAAGGCCACAGTAAACACTAACGTCTCAGACTCTACCTATCATCCCTCTCATTGCAAGACCAATTTCATACTATAAATCAAATCAGTGGATAGAGCACCAGCCCTGAAGTCAGGACGACCTGAGTTCAAATTCAACCTCAGACCAAACACTTGACACATACCAGCTGTGTAACCCTGGGCAAGTCACTTAACCCCAATTGCCTAAAAAAACAAAAACAAAACAAAACAAAAAAAAAATCAAATCAAATCAAATCATCAGAATACAGCAGATATTCCATAGACCCTTAGCCACCTGAGAAACTTTTCCTTTCTAGTTCAAAGGCCTCTAGCTCCCTTTGATCCTGGGATTACTAGCAATGAATGACTCCAATTAAAAAAACAAAAAACCTTTTATTGCAGCACATCAACTGAAAAACAGAATTCTGTTGGTTTTTTTAAATAGGTTCTTGTCCATTTTGAGTCTTCTCTCTAGTTGCCTCCAGACTGAGAAGGGAAGTTCAGTGTCCAAAAATTTCGCTGCTCCCAAAAAGAATACAAATGTAACCCCCACGCCATCCATCTAAAGGTCTGTTCTCTGAAGGAACACGTATTCAAGCACCACTAAGCCCAAACCGGCCACAGTCTGAAGTCGGGTTAATTAAAACTCTCAGCATCTCCTCACAGTGTTACACCACTGGACGCTGGGAAGAAGGGAATCTGGAGGCCAGAGGAACAGGAGGCAGCTGCAGGTTTTTGTCTCCTGCCCCTCAGTGGAGGCTCTGGCCCAGGTACTGCAAGAACATGTTGGCCAGCTGTGGCAGGTTCTCCTTGGTGGGGTGCATCTTGGTGTATGAGATGAACTGGCGCCTGAGACGGCTCAGCTCAGCCATAGAGAGGGGGCGAGTGAACAGCAGCCTCTCAGTGGTCCCAGGCAAGGCCAACAAGTCCCCGGGGACGGCAGTTTTCTGAGCCTCCATCAGGGCCGCCAGGACCTGACTGGTGACCTGATCCAGCTGGTGCAAGAAATTGGTGGAGGACAGAGGCTGTGACTGGGTGGCCTGGTGGGGGGCAGGCACCTGGCTCTCAAAGAGGGCAGCCCAGATCTGGGCCAGGGGCAGGGGCTCCTCAAGGCCCAGCACCGTGAAGAGGGGCCGGTCCCAGCGATTCCTGGAATCTGGCGCCTCAAACCGCTGGGCCAAGGCCTCCAAGAGCTCCGGGGGAAAGCCGAGGTCTGGCCCCGGCTCAGGGCTCCCAGGGTCGGGGGACCCCAGCTTCCTGGCCAGCTCAAGCTCCGAATCCTCAGCCGCCCTGGGCCCCGTGACCCCAAGGCCCCCGCTCTCTTCTGGGCAAAGTGCCTTCGAGCTGGAAGTTCCCTGGAGCCTCGAGACCTGAGATCTTGGACCTTCCTTGGAGCCCTCCTCCGGGGGCTTGCGATCCTCCCGGGGGTCCCCGGCCTGCAGCTCGTGCTCCTGCTCCGCGGCGGCGGCCTTCGGCCTCCAGCTGCCGGCTGCGGCCTCGGCCTGGGGCCGGCAGTCCTCCTGGCGGCCCGGCGCCCGCGGCCGGGGCTTCAGGCAGTAGAGCAGGCAGAGGGGGGTGCGGGCTGCCCGGGCCAGGCAGTAGAGCTCGTAGCGGAACCCTTTGATGTAGTTGAGCGAGTCAAGGAGAACGACAGCCCGGGGGCCCAGGCCGCGCTCCACCGAGGCCTTGAGGGCCGCGCGCAGCGCCTTCTCGCGGGTCGGGTCGGAGTAGGCCTCGTACAGCGCCGCCGGCCCGCAGGGCCCGAGCACGTCGGCATCGCGCACGACCGTCACGGGGCGACCCTCGGCCTCCAACGCCCTCCGGAGCTCGTCTGCGCGCCGGCTCCGGCCGCTGTCCGGCAACCCGCACAGCACCACCAGCGGCATGACCGCCCACAAGATCACTTCCGGGGGCCCGGCAAGAACCGCCGGAAGCACTACCTAGATTTCCGCCCTACGCCCCTGGCCAATCAGTGCTACCTCAGCCAACCAATCAGTGCGCAACTCAGGGGCGGAACCTGGCTAAGGCCCGGTTGCTATGGTGCGCCCCGCCCCGGCCAGTCACGTGTCTCTCACATGGGCGAAAAAAGGGGTCAGGAGGGCACGGACCCGGCACATCAAAAGAGGACTACATCCCACAAGACGGGGAGGCGATTATCTGGGGCGGCCAGGCCATGGTGTCCATAAACCCACTCTCTCCTCGCCCCAATCTAGAGAACTGTACCCCAAACCACTAATTCTTGGTATGGGGAGGGCCGCTTTAATAAGCCTCTTTCCAAAGCCTCAACTTCCTTGAGGGAGTAATGAGCACAGTGCGCACCCCTCCCCCACTCCCAGGACGGGCTCTACCAGTGGTCCGAAGATGTAAAGCTGAAGGAGTCCTCAAACTTCATCCCGTCCCAGCCCCTCTTAGAGATGGGGAAACTGAGGCTCACGGGGGAGAGGGAGAGAGGCTCAGTCACCCATGAGCTCAGAGTGGCAAGGTCTGCATTTGAACCCAAGACCTGGTCCTCCCAACTCAACATCCCGTGCCCCTTCCTTTCCACTTCACTGTCCCTGCAGGAGGCCTACAAAATCACAGAACTCAAGAGTGGGCAACAGGTAAGAACAAGGGGCCACAGGCAAGAACAAGGGCCCCCAGAAAGTCATCGTGCAGCCTCTGCTTGGGGCAGCCAGGGCGCACACACAGCCTCCCCAGGACGCCCATTGCAAGCTGACCTTAGCAACTCTGCTGCTGGCTGCTTTGCCCCTTCCCTGCCAGGCCCCTTTCTCCTTAGAGAGAAGAGAGAAAAAGTAACTTGCCTAAGGCCAAAGTGGCAAAGCCAAGATTCCAACTAGGTCCTCCAACTCCACATGAAGAGCTCTTTCCACTAAGCCAAGCTGCCTCAGTGAGACCTTAGGAGGGAGCTTTGGTGTGGGGAAAAGAATAATGGAATCTGAACACAAGTCTGGTGTCTCCAAATTCTTTCCATTAGCCTTGAGGCAGTCTGTGGTTTTGCATTTCTTTGTATCACCAGCACTAAGCATAATGTTTGGCACAAAGCAGGCAATTAATAAATGTTTGTTCATCGATTGCCCCTCCAGAGTTGAGACAGAGCAGACCAGGAGGCCTGCAGGTTGGTGCTCACTAGAAAATCACCAAGAACTCAAAACAGCTCACAGTGGCCGGGCCAGAGTTCATGGAACCCCTTTACTGCACTTACTAGGAAACAATGGCCTGTGACTTTAGGGCATCATCAAACAGTTCAACATCACCAATACCCGCCAGATGTTGTCAGTGGGAATGCATGACCATCTGCTTGGTCACCTAAGCACCACAGGACTCTTCTGTCTAACTTGCAGGTGAAACCTTCCAGACGTCTCCTCCCTTAGAATGCGAGTCCCCTGAGAGCAGGGGACTGGCATGCTTTTCTCTCTGTAGCCTCAGTTCTTTGCAGATAGGAAGCACTTAGTAAGTGCCTTTCCACTCATTCGTGAGTGTGCCACAGCATTAACAAACCGCTAAATTTTATTGTTTTAGGGTCAAGACCTGGGTGATGATGCTTTAAGGAGTCATGGCTAAGGCTTCAAAGACCCTAAGGAAGATGAGGTCTCTAACTCTGGATACCTTCTCAAGACCCTAAAACAGGGGAAGGGTTTAATTCCCAAACAAGGAATAGGACACAGAGCCTTCCAAATCCATCTTCAATCCCTTGTATGCTCCCAGAAGCCTAAATATAAGGGCTTTAGCAGGGACCTGGCTTCTCCGACATTCTTTTCTAGCCCAGGGCATCCAGATTCCCCAAGCCCACCACCCCCGGAGGATGAGCAAACACTCCCCTAGCACCAGATCTCCATTCTTCTGCAGATAGGAGATAAGGGTGGATTCTGGGGGATTCCTAACCAAGGGGTGGAAACACCATTATGAGGTTATCTTCAAAACGAATCCTTTGTAAAGAATTACAGACTCACAGGAGGCCAGAACTGGGAAGGGCATCGGGAGACACCCAGTCTAACCCTCACCTACAAATATCCCTGCTATGACATCCTGCAGACACCCATCCTCTGCAGGAATGTCCAGTGAGGAGCTCGCCACCTCCCAAGGCAGCCTCTTCCTCTAGTGGATGGCGTGGGGCTCTAACTGTTGGAAGGATTTCCCTTAACTGGCTTCACTGTAATCCGCCCCCTTCCCCAGCCAATTCTGCTCTACCGGCCCAAGCAGAACCAGGCTGATCCCTTTTATATATAACAGCCCTTCTTACAACTGAAGAAAGCTTCCTGGCCCTCCCTCCCCAGTCTTCTCTTCTCCAGGCTAACACTCCCAGTTCCTAAGACATGTGGTGTGGTTTCCAGGCTTTTCCCCATCCTCATCACTTTGCTTTCTGACAAATCTCTAGACTGTCAATGTCCTTCCCACAGGGTGGCACACAGACCCCAACCCAAAGCTCCATCTGGGTCTGACAAGGCAGAGCACAGTGCGACCATCACCTTCCTAGTCTCTCTCAATCCAGCCCAGGACAGCCTTCACTTTCTTGGCCTGGAAGTCTCCGGGCTCACTTCTACCGAGTCTAAAGTCCACCAAAAAAGGCTTGCTGTTAACATGACCTGAGAGATAAGCTGCTCATAATAACAACTACCATTTTATGGCACCTCTTACTTGCCTCACACTGTGCTAGGTGCTTTACAGATATGATCTGATCTGATTGTCACAACTACCTAAAAGGTAGGTACTGCTATTAGCCCCATTTAACAATTAGGGAACTGAGGCAGAGGTCAAGTGACTTGCCCAGGGTCACACAGCTAGTAAGTGTCTGAGGCCGGATTTGAAATTAGGTTTTCCTGATTCCAGGCCCAGTGCTTCATCCACTGTACCACCTGGCTGCCTCTCAACTGAAAGCCTACCCACAGCAGATAAAAATATCAAAATATTACGTCTAGTTTCTACTGCATGAGTTTAACTGCTTTCATGCTGTATTAATTTCATAAATGAGTCAGCTTTTCCTCTTAGTTAGTTTAAAGTTACAAGTTAACTTGTTATCATCCCCAGCCTGTCCTTGTACAATTAGGGAGGATCTTATCTCCCTACAAATCTTTCTAGGCCCCACGGAGCTGCTAACTCTGGTCCACTAATAAGGTCTGACTGTCAGAAGGCTGGTCCCTACCCCCACAATGCGGTCCATCCTCTAACCAATCATACTGTCTTTCCCATCTACCCAACTCTGTACTCCCCACAACTATATGAAGGCTGGTGACCCCACCACAGGGTCTCTGGTCCTTGAGAAGCCACTCACCTAATTTATTGGTTACTGCTCACCTAATAAATTGATCATGCTCTCAGATATTGTCTCTCAGTGTACCTGAATTGTCAAAGGTAACGCAGAGCACCTCTATTCTTTGCTTCCCTCCCCTCCTGGTCTTGCTGTGGTCACCTCTCCTGACTCCTATAGGGCCCATGCTAACCAATCTGATCCAGTTTAGAAGTCCTGGGCAACCATTCAGCTCCATCCCCTGCTTTCTAGTAGAGCCTTAGACCCCTTCCTGAAATCTGGGTCAGAAGGATCATCAGTCTGGAGCCAGGAGGACACTTAGGTCACACATCCCTTTCATCTTACAGATCGGGAACCTGAGGTCCAGGGAAGCGATCTGGCCAAGGTCATGCAGGCAGGAAACATCAGACACAGAATTTGAACCCAGATTCTTGGACTCAAACCAGAGTCCTTTCCACCATTCCACACCACCACCCCCGTCCCTCTGGAAGGCAGATCCTTAGTTTTCTAATAAAACCACCTGTAGAGATTCCACCTACCTGGCAGCTGCCTCACTCTTTCCATCTTCCAGTGCTCTCCAGTGAATGTGATCCCCAAAACCTGGAAAGACAAAGGCTTAAAATAAACTATTCCATCATGAAAAGCCAGCAGGAGGCTGACATCGACACGATCACAGGGGTCTACAAAGTGCCACATTACTGCTGTCCCTTTGTGGACAAAGATATTAAGGCTCACAGTGGCAATAAAGCACAGCCCAGGTCACAGAGCCGGTGGGCTGGGGGAAGAGCCAGGACTGGCATCAGGGTTGTACTCAGGCTGGAGAACACCCAGTGAAGGAGGGCAACCAGGGCAAAGATGGGCTTCAAGTCTATGTCCTAGGAGGACAGCTGAAGGAATTGGGATGTTGTTTAGCCTAGAGAAGAGAAAACTGGGGATGGAGGAGCAGGGAGAGCTGGCCTCAGGCATCCAAAGGGTTGTCCAAAGGGAGGAGGGATTCGATTCTTTTTTCTATTTGAGTCAGAAGCAATGGGACATTTTGCAAAGTTGCAAAAGAGGCAGATGCAGGTTTGATTTAAGAAGAACTTGCGAACCATAAGCACTATCCCAATGTGGAATGGGTTAACCCCAAAGATGGTGAGCTCCCTACTCCTGGAGGTCTGCAAACAGGGGATGGATGCCCACTTGCAGGGAAAACTCCTGCTCAGGGACAAGAGGGATCAGGAGGCGCCGAGGTGCCTCCCTGCTCAGAGATGCTGTGACTGTCCCCAGCTATGCCCTTTCTGACTCCAAGCTGAAAATTCCCTTAGGGGATCATTCCTCCTGAAGCTAGGAAAGCAGTTTCTCACACACACCTCTCAGTCTCCTCTGGGCTACCCATGGTGCTCCACAGGCCGGCTGGTCAAGGGGCACTATTTCACCTCTGTCTTTGTAACCTCAGTGCCTAGCGCAGGACCCGACACATCATAAGTACCTAATAAAATCATAGGGGAGGACTGAGTTTTCTCTGCCATGTCAGCCTTTATCTCTGGAAGCATAAAACCAGGACTGAGACTTCTGGGATACTCTGCATGAATGTCAGCTGTTATTAAAATGAGGAAAGGAAGACTGCAATTACGTATTCCACTGAGCAAAACATCCAGATGTGAGATTCTTTTTTTTTTTTTCCCAAAGAATAGCTTCTACATAACTGTCCCATCTCCCACGATCTGTCCTGACCCTGTCGGAGAAAATCCCAAAGAAAAGCTACAGACCTCTTGCCCCAAAACACAGAGTTGCACTCCATGAGCCCTGGGTCCCTTACACTGCATCCTTTCCCTCTTTCACTTGGCAGCCCCAGATCCAGGCCCCATTTAGGGTCAGTCTGGCCTGGGAAGGGCCAATCTTAGGAGGCAGCAGTATTTGCCTAGCTGCTGAGATCCCATGTCATCTCATGCCCACGTGGAACATCCAGAGAAGCCTCTAGCCACGCTGTCACCTGCCCAAAGGTTAACTAACTCAGCTCACTGGCAATGACCTAAAAGAATTATATGTCCTCAGAGCCTTCACCCAAGGCCATCCAGATCAAAAGGGGTAAGGACTCCTACATTCTGCTGTCCGAGGATTTCTTTGAAGGTGAAGGGGGGGAGGGGGCTGTATAAAAAAACACTTCAAGGACTTACATTCACAAAAAAAATAACCATGATAGCTAGCGTGTGTATAGCACTTTAAGGTTTGCAGAGTGCTTTACAGGTATTACCCCCATTTTACAGCTAATGAAACTGAAGCAGACAGAGATTAGGTGACTCATCCAGGTCACACAGTTAGTAAGTGCCCGAAGGTGGATTTGAAGTAGAATCTTCCTGACTCCAGGTCCAACGCTCTATCCGCTTGAGACCTCAACACCCTCTCCTCTACCAACTCTTAGGAGTTCACTCCTGTGGGGGTCGAGGACATCCCTGTGGTTTAGTACATAGACCTGGAACCAGAAAGACCTGGGCTTGAACCCTGATTCAGACA